ATAATATTCATATTAGACAAAAATTGTATCTCTTTTGAGAGTGAGCCGCGAAAACATGTGGACCAGAAAAAAAACGCGTTGAAACGCATTTTTATACCAAATTTTTTTTCATGGGTACTATAATCTAGATTTCATCTCAGCTACGAGATTCATCAGATCTTAAGGTTGAGGATGAGGACGAATATTATGTAGAAGATATCCTACGACTATCGTATCGAATTTTTCTCATGAAGCTCAGTTTTAAGTGGTTGTTTGTCATATTTCTTTTCTGAGTCTGTTGTTTAAATAAACTTTATGTTTATCTTGATGATGCGGTAGATGGTTTGTTTTTATTTGGTTGTGATAATAGTACTTTTCTTTTTTCTCTAGTATGTTGCATGGATCTGTATGGTTGCCATTCGATATGATGTGTTTGCCGCTGTTTCCAGCTATAGTGATTTGTAAATCCATTTTCTATCTGAGAATATATATTGATTGGATTTGTTTTTTTGTCGTTGACATTTATGATTGAATTATTTTATATATGTCTGTGTTTGTATTGATGACGGATATATATCTGAAATAGAAGAATTAGAACAGGTAGCATATTGAGGAGGAGGAAAAGAATGATGAAATATATTGAAATATGTATCTAATATACACGAAAGAAAATGATCGATGAATGGTATTATCCTTTGGTAACAAAAAGTTTTATCTGAGTTACTGGAGAAGAAATGCAATATCTTCCCATTGCTCGAGTTGTCGAAGTCCTTCTTCATAGTTCTCCAATTTGTTGATTCGGTTTAATTGTTCGATCTGATCGTTATGCAGTTCTTTTTGTTGTATTGTGGCAAATTGTTCTAGTTCGTTCAGTTGATCTCAGTGTTGTTATAGTGTAGGTAATCGTTCCTGCTCAGTCAATGATTCTTATTGTTGTTGTTGGAATCTGTTCTATCTTTCTTGTGAATTCATCTTTTCCAAATCATATATGTCTAACAGTCGTTCCTAAAGCATCTCTTTCTGTAGTTCGTCAAATTCAAGTGGACGCCGCTGCAAGTATTAATATTGTTTTCGTTGATCTTGTTCCCGATAGTATCGATATCGATTTTCTAGCCATCGCTCGTATCGTTGCTCGCTTCTTTGCCCAAGTGCATCAATTTGATAACGAATCTGATCAGATCTTATGAGATCCAACCAATCAACAAAATCTGACTGGATTCCGTGTAACGAAGTGACTATAATGAATCCAATGGTCGGATTCTGATAATAAAATTCTGATCATATCCAACTGTTGAATTTCTATAAGA